CCCAAAGAAAGCTTCTAGTGCCACCCAGCCCTTTGGTAAAGGGTCGAGAGAGAGGGTAGAATGTGCCTTTTTCAGTGATTCTGCAATATGTATGATACTAAAGCAGCAGGAGTCAATAAAGGTTATAGCGCCAGCCAGTGATAAAGAGTAGCATTAACAGTGTGGCAGGCAAGTTAAGCTATTAATAGATAGAAAAAGGACGCACGAAACTGACTTCTCCATTGTTATTGGAGGTATATAGGACTACTAACACCGCTGCCTCTGCTGCCATCTTCACCACCACTGTAAGGCTAATCTTTCAGTGGCCTTATACACCCAAAAAAAAAAAAAAAAAAAAAAAAAAAAAAACCACTTGTGACATTCTTAATGCCATATTTTATTCATTCTAGAATATATATCATGTTTCTATGTTATTAATATTGTTTATTATGTCATATTAGATGAACTGTGCTAGATAAATAAGCTGTAGAGCTGATAATAGTGTCATATTGAAGGATTATCTTGTCCTGTCTCCCAACACAATTCCTAACATACACCAGAAACAGACCTCTCTGGAACACTTTTTTGAGCGACAGGGGTCCAGTGACTCAAGCTGGTCCTAGTGGCATTAAAAACAAAAGAGAAGTAACCCAGGATAAGGACTTGGTACCTGAAGTCTTTATGAAAGGGGATTCCCTTACCAAACATTTGTAAACTCCTCCATCCTCTCCCCTCCTCCAGTCTTCCATACGTTACCATGCCTTCAATAAAGGTAAATGTGATATTATTGTTTTGTTCTTCATGTATCATTGTTTTCTGTGTAAGTAAACGTATATTTCATATAGAAAACATTTTTTTAATACTTTTAGGTGTCTGAAACGGATTAATTGGATTTCCATTATTTCTTACGGGGAAAATTAATTCGGAGTAAGTCATTTTGGAAAAGTCACTCTCTCTGGAATGGATTAATTACATAATTTGGGGGTCCACTGTATGTAATGTTCATTTATCGTTAAAGTTAGTGCTTTATAGTTCTGTTTTCTGTATACAAAACTATTTTTTCTTTAAAGAATGTTTTTTATTTTTTATATTTTTGTATTTCTGGAACGGATTAATTGGATTTACAGTATTTCTCATGGGAAATATTACTTCGGTTTTCGGCCATTCTGAATTTCGGCCAACCTTCTGGAACGGATTACGGCCGAAAACTGGGGGTCTACTGTACTTAAAAACACAAATGTCACATTTATATTTATTTTATTTATATACAGATTATATAAGCATACATGTGCACACCACCCTTATCCAACATTCCTCCCCCGCCACACATACTTATCCCTTCCTTCTTCCACAATCATATACAGTGGAACCCTGGTTTTCGCACGCCCCAGTTATCAGACGATTTGGTTTTAGAACTTTTTTGTGCAAAATTTTGCTCCGGATATCAGACCTTGATCCAGAAATCATGCGTATCATGTGTCAACCTGGGCCGCTCAAACATTCGTGACTCGTTCTTGGGCACATTAACCCTTTGAGGGTTTTCGTCGTACTAGTACGTCTTACGCGTAGGGGTTTTTGACGTACTAGTACTCATAAATTCTAGCGACCTCAAATCTAGTGGGAGAAGGCTGGTAGGCCTTCATATGAAAGAATGGGTCTATGTGGTCAGTGTGCACAGTCTAAAAAAAAATCCTGCAGCACACAGTGCATAATGAGAAAAAAAAACTTTTTCCATTTTTTTTTAATAAATCAGCGACTTTGCAGTGTATTTTCGTATGGTATTTATTGTTGTATTCTAGTTTTCTTGGTCTCATTTTATAGAATGGAAGACATATTACTGAAATTGAGATGATTTTGACTGGTTTTACAATGAAAGGTGCCTTGAAATTGAGCTCAAAGTAGCAGAAATGTTCGATTTTTACCAAACTTCAAAAGTAAACAAATCGTGCCAAGCGTGCAATACACGTCAACTGGTGAGTCTAATATTCTTTCACAAGTGAACCAATAATATTTATACCATTTTTTACACTAATGCAGTAGTCTGCATAACAGTAAATCTTATATTTTTTGTGAGAATAAAAATTCAAAGTGGAAAGCAAAAGAATATAAGAGGGGCCTTGAGACGTGACTAATGACTAGAGGAAATGTCATTTTAGTGCCAGGAATGTCTTTCTTGTTTATTCTGGACCCTATTCCGAAATTGGCATCTTTTGAAATTTGTGTGAAATTGGCAAAATTGCTAAATTCTGACCACTGTACTGGATAGTTGAATTTATAAATGGGTGGTTTCTTGCACCCATTCGATAGAAAAAATGGAGTTCTAGCGAAATATTCATGTTTTTTGTTGACTAGTACAGTGAAATTGGCCGAAAATGGGGCTCAAAGTGGGCAAAATCGCCGATCCGTAAACATCGCCGAGACCGCTAACTTTGCGAGAGCATAATTCCGTAAGTTTTCTATCAAATTTCAAACTTTTGGTGTCGTTATGATCAGGAAAAGATTCTCTATCTTTTCATAAGAGAAAATAATTTTTTTTTTTTTTAAATTTGGCCGACCCTGAGAACGAGTTTCGGAGAGGGCCTGTCGACCCTCAAAGGGTTAAATGTCTTTTTTTTACGTTAATATAGACATTTTCATTAATCCATCTATGATATTTTCTTCAAAATTATATAAGAAACATGTTACATAGCATAGTATAAATATGCAATGTTTATATGCCATCAAAGGGTGGTAGTCGGTGGAGGGAAAACGTTATGTTTTCTCTTTCTCTGGTCAAGCATTAGAGAAAACTGTATGAATCTGCATCTGGCTTTTGCTTACAATTCTTGGCATGAATTATTCATTACTATTCTTATTATTCATTATTGTTCTTGGCATATAAAGGTAGTTGTTAGAAACGATTAAACTCAGTGAACAAGGTATGCTGGTGGTAATAACTTAGCTCTGGGCTTCATTAAATATCGTGTAGTTATGTAGGTAGGTGCATGTATGTAGCCCAGGCTATCTACTGGCTACCTACATCTACCAGCTACTTAGTAAGTTTATTCAGGTATACACAAATACAGTTACATAGATTATCATACATTGCAGCATATGTGTAAAGAACCAAAGATAACCCAAAAAAGTCAGACACTGACTTCCTATGAAAAAGTACTACTCACCTCTTGCCCTATATTACGACTACAAATATTTTAAAGGTAAATAATGAATGTGGAAGAGTTGGTGGATATTTCTGGGTTGTTAATATTTCTGGGTGTCTGGAACAGATTAATTGTATTTACATTATTTCTTATGGTAAATACTGATTCAGTTTTTGCATGTTTTGGTTTTAGAATGACCTTCTGGAATGGATCAAGTTCAAAAACTGGGGTTCCACTGTACAGGCAGGTCCCACTTTACAGTGCTTTGCTTTACTCAAAAGAGATGTGTCATCATCATAGGATACCACTTTACAGAGAGGAGCACTGCAATAGGCCTATTGGCCCACTCTGAACAGACTCTTCAACTCTTATATTAGTCCTGCTTCATTTTAAATCTGCCTCATTTCTGTTACATTATCTCACTTTTTCATTTGTTCACTTGACTCTCTGTACTATATACTCTACTTGTTCTCTGTGACTGTATTAGGACTGAAAAAAGCCACTCATGACCAAACATGTCCTCATTAAATGTGTTTGTATGTCTCTTTCAAGCTTCAGTAATCACCAGAAAAGCTGCAGATCAGGCTGCAGAGCTACAAAAACCTGAAAACCAGTACAGGTAATATCACAAGCAATATCCATGAATCACATCTGCTGAATACTTTTTGTGTGATCCTTGTGGCCACCATACACTCCATTCCATCACTTACTCCTCCTCTACAGTCCCAGCTATTATTTGTATCCCAGTTGAATACACCAAGTATTCAACTAAATTATATTAATATATTTCACAATCACTATCAGCCAGTCTTCAAGATGATCAGATGTAAAGCCTGGGTAAGGACACATCATGAATGTTGTTGTTCATTTAATACCATTATTCAGAATAAAAAAGCACAATTCTGTGACTGGAACAATACACAAATAACACGCACATAGGAGAATGAAACTTATGATGACGTTGAGGTCCAACCATTAACCAGTCACACAAGCACGAAGGTAAGGAAACCAACATACGTAAATATATGAAGGGGGGGGGGAGCAGGAGAAGTAGACCGAGAGGAGGTACCTGGAGAGGGTTTCGGTAATCAATGCCCCCGAGGCCCAGTCTGAGACCAGGCCTCATGGTGGATCAGGGTCTGACCAACCAGGCTGTTACTGCTAGCAGCATGCAAACCGATGTATGAACCACAACCTGGCTGATCAGGTACTGACTAGGTGACTGTCCAGCACCTTCTCGAAGACAGACAGGGGTAGTACCTCCTCTCATTCTACTACTACCAGCCCCGGCTCCGCCCTTGCCACCCTCTCATATACAGTGGACCCCCGGTTAACGAACTTTTTTCATTCCAGTAGTATGTTCAGGTGCCAGTACTGACCGATTTTTTTCCCATAAGGAATATTGTGAAGTAGATTAATCCATTTCAGACCCCCAAACATACACGTACAAACGCACTTACATAAATACACTTACATAATTGGTCGCATTTGGAGGTGATCGTTAAGCGGGGGTCCACTGTATATACTAGTTCCCTTCGTGTTTTTGTGACTAGTGAATCGCCCAAGTCAGACTGGAATGTCGTCATGCGTTTCAATCTAAGTGTTGGTTATTTGTGTACCGTCATTCAGTCCAATACATCATTTACTCTACCCATCCTTCCTTACACTTCTTGATATCTTTTTCATCCTGCAATTTATCCTTTGTCTAACGTGTAATATTTAACCCATTTCAGCGTGTCATTCATTTGTCCACTCTCCTGCAAATCCACAGTTTAGCTCATTAATCTGTGAGGAAATGTGGGGAACAAGAAGCATGCTACTAGTGTATCAAGTAGTGTAGAGCAGCAATAACAGCAGCAGCATGGCCTACAAGGTACTTACCCCCATGGTGGTGCTGTGATGCTACATGCGAGGCCACCACGATGCTGACCTAACTGCCAGGGCTGCAGCAGACAATGACATACACGATGAGGGAGGTATGGTGAAGAAAGATGAGGGACTAAGGCATGGCTGGAGAGAGGAAGGATTAAGGAAATACTGGAATGGTTATGGTGTAAAGGTAAAGAGAAAATGTAGAGGAAAGAGAAAGGAAGGATGTGACTGGAAGGAGAGGAGAGGAAGGACAAGAGATAATCCAAGATGGCAGTGGGTAACTACAATTAAGAAGGAGGTAGAGAGGTTACTGAAAGTGTAGCACGGTGGTGGTAGGCTCAGGAGACAGGTCCATGGCAGGCTCAGTTTCTTGGTGTTTGAGACAGGGATGACCCATCAAGGTAGTGGAGATAAGGTTACCATTAAACCATCACACTGCTTGTCTTGTCTCTCCTCACATACATCTACTACCACAGTTTGATTTTTTTTTTCTAATGCCAATGTTCTTTCCTAATTTATGAGTGTCATTTCACTGCTGTAGAGAAGTAATATAAAGTTAGACTGCACGATCTTGACAGGCAGAATATTGTAACCTTCACAACGCTCTCATTATTGTTAAGGACATACTGAAGAACATATCACATGTACAAGGCTCTGAAATTAGAAATATACTAAGACTGCTACAGATGTTGAGTTGTCTATGCTCTCTTGGAGCAAAGATTCTTGGGTACTGTTTCAAGTATTCATAAGCAATACATAAAGCACAAAGTTGTGCATGTTTCAAAAGCAGCTGGATAATCTCACTTGCCTACAAGATGCGAGCGTGTTTACAGAGGTCATGCACCTGAACGCCTTGATTACAGCTCTGATAGCAGCAGCAGAACCTTTCAGCGATCTGCAACTCTTCAATAAATCTACGCCAATACTATAATAAAATCGCAAAAGCTTCAGTGTCAAAATTGGTAGGCCACTTGGAGTACTAGTAGGAAGTAACAGGGATTAGAGCTGTTTAAGTCTTCCGTTCAGGTTGACAGTAAAAAGCCAGTTTTGAAAGCAATGGATGAGAGGGAAGGCGACCACAACTGCTCTTAAAGTGTGAACCTTCTACAGGATCCCCTTCCCAATTTGATTTCCTTGGCAACGACAAACTCCCTCAAGTTTCTCCAGGTGCTCAAGATCAAATATGCGTTCCTGGCAAAGATCTGTCGACTTGGGCTTAGTGAGGATTTCCCAGCAGCTCTACGGAAGGCAGGAAACATCAAGGTCGTTGACAACTATGCTGAACACGGTATTGCTCTAATTCAGGAGTACAACGGAAAGCACACCAAGAATGAGAAGTAACCAATACCTATACCAAGTTATTGATCACTGCCGAAAGAAATTTCCAGAGGCTACGAAGAATTTTCTTACAAGTCGGCAAGATACCCGCGCTTGAGCGGGTAACACCCATCCTAGATGGTGGGACCCGTGAAAAGGTAGCAATTTTGTAGATATAATTTTCTCAAACAAATTAAGGTAGTAGGAGCGTGAAAATTCCAAACGTTATTTTTCATGTCTTATAGGCTGGCTCACCCCAAATACGCGGGTACACAGCACAATGTTGAGCAAGTGGATCTTCTGAAGGTTTAAAGTATTTAATTCGTTTTCAATACTGATCCAGTTAATTATTTTTTAAATTCTGCTTTGATTTAGGGGTCCACTTCAAGTCATAAGATTTCCAAAATCACGTATATCTGTGGCAGTATATTATAATAAAAAAAAAAAGAAGCGCTAAGCCACAAGGACTATACAGCGCTGATCTGTGGCAGTAGAGTGAAGGACGGACGTTCTTCAGTACTCCTGTCCCTCCCTCCCCTCCAGTCCTCACTCCATGTGTTTGTAACTGCACGCTGCAGTTTTATCCAATCTCGTTAAAGAAAATGTTAATTAGGTTGGGGAACACCAGTGAAATATAAGCCCTTTCCCTCCAACAGTGAGTGACATACCCTGACAACGTAAACCTAAAGTTTAAAAGTTTTAAAAATTATCTTAAGAGCATGAACGCATGACACTTCTCAAACACCGTATCATTCAAAACGCTTTATCAGGGAACAAAAACAACAGAGCCTCCTCACACATACAATCATGCAAGAAAATTAAATAGTAACCCTATATAGGCCTGGCACAACCGACAACACTTAAGTTTTGCACAATTTGTAAATGGGAAAGTAGCACAGTTGTATCCACGGTTAAATATTTTCCACCTCAGCACACGAGACATGCATCACCCTGCATATTAAACAGAAGAATTCTAAAAACACCTAATTTGTGAACACAATTATAATTAAAAAATTCACAGCACAAATACATTATCGATAAATGCGTTTTAATAACTGGTCTCTCATACACATTTAAGAAAAAATAAGAAATTACAAAATAACAGGCAGAGAAGTATTCGCAATAAAGATACCAGTGATACACTACTGTTTTATTTACACGGCAAGACTGACATTACGCATAACTGAGGAAACAAGGTTTCGTGTACTGACAAAAATAAACTGATGAAAATATACGAGATGCAATGAACTTACTACGTATAATTATAAACAGAAAAAAGACAAGGAGCAAATAAAGATTTTTAAATTTTGCCACCGAAATGACTAGTAGTTTGTGGACACCATATCCGTCCCGTGGACACTAGGAAATTATGACGAAATTCCAAACATTAATTCTCCAATGTGTTAGTCATTATGTGAGTCAAGAACCTTCAGTGATGACAGAGCTAAGGTCAATGTCATACGTTAACATTAGCGCAATTAGGATCATCACACACTCATGATCATAGACCTGGAGTTGAACTGATGGCACTATGTTAAATAAATAACCTGTTAAAGATTAAATAAATTGGCTGTCAACAGATCTAATGAACAATAAACAATACCAAATAAATACTATGCTGGAGGACGTATGAAGGCAAGACAGTACAATATAGGGACCATGAATATACATTTATTTTATCATAAATGGCTTTATCTCACTAAAGTCATTTACCAACACTATAAATGTTAGGGCTAGCTAAATCATCAAATGTTGTGACACACTACTCAGCTTTCAACATAAAACCTACCAGGCGAGGTAATAGCCTCATCATCCAAGCCATCTCAACATCGAAAGAACGATGGCAGTTGCAACCATACAGACTAGGACATTTTAAGTTAAAGGTAATTAGAACAAGAAACTACAAGATTATATATACCACTACCTCAAACTCATGGTAGATAAACCCAGTGGCTTTCTTATCAGAGTCAACTAAGGCTCAGGACAAAAGTAACACCTTTCATTTTTTCAAACTTTCAAGTTGCAAACCCAGCAATAACAAAAATACATCTTATAAGTAACATTAAAGTCGAATGCAGTTTTTTAAGCCTTTACAAAGATACATATACAAGCTGTTATGATGAAGTATGGATACCGGGGTTCAATATACAAGCTGTTATGATGAAGTATGGATACCGGGGTTCAATATACAAGCTGTTATGATGAAGTATGGATACCGGGGTTCAATATGAAATGGAAGATGGCGAAAAGACTACAAAATGGGGTTCATTTACAAGTTAAAATTCAATCTGCAAATAGTTAATTAACAACACAAGCACTGTAGTCTAAATGATGACAGTGAAAATCGAACTTCAAAATTCAATCACTTTTGTACAAATCACTAAATGGAAATTCGCAAAATTCTAAAGATATCTTAATGAAAAAATCTAATACTGCCCAACATACCATATAAACCCAGGCCCAATCATCATGGTGATTTTAATGTAAGACATTCTAAGTGGAGATAGTTGCAAGTCCCACGATATGCATTTCATGTCAACATTCACTCACTCAAACTATTAACTCTGAAAAATTTGTTTTAAATCACCAAGTAATAGAACTGACCAAGATTGTAAAATACCCTTAACCTTGTCTTAACAAACAATGTAATAGGGAACATAACGGTGTCAAATAAAACAGATTAACCACAACATAAGTTACACATGCAGACACACCAAACCTGAACAGCTACGCACAAATCATTGCAAAGGATCTTTCCAAAGTTCAATTTCAACAATTAACATTAAATGGTAATAAAGAAATTTTTACTTTACCGAAATATTAGAAAAATAGTGTAAGGTTAAACTAAGTCTTCGCATGTGTTAAAAACACTCAATACTCGTATCAAAACAATAACAGTGCCATGCAAATGACAAGTGGAAAGGCGATGTCAAACTGCAGGGACAAAGTTACAGAATTAATTCAAGGTTCTGAACTTTCTCAAGTACGATCAAAATACTGGAGTACCTGGAGTTTACCTGGAGAGAGTTTCGGGGGTCAACGCCCCCGCGGCCCGGTCTGTGACCAGGCCTCCTGGTGGATCAGCGCCTGATCAACCAGGCTGTTGCTGCTGGCTGCACGCAAACCAACGTACGAGCCACAGCCCGGCTGATCAGGAACTGCCTTTAGGTGCTTGTCCAGTGCCAGCTTGAAGACTGCCAGGGGTCTGTTGGTAATCCCCCTTATGTGTGCTGGGAGGCAGTTGAACAGTCTCGGTCCCCTGACACTTATTGTATGGTCTCTTAACGTGCTAGTGACACCCCTGCTTTTCATTGGGGGGATGGTGCATCGTCTGCCAAGTCTTTTGCTTTCGTAGTGAGTGATTTTCGTGTGCAAGTTCGGTACTAGTCCCTCTAGGATTTTCCAGGTGTATATAATCATGTATCTCTCCCTCCTGCGTTCCAGGGAATACAGGTTTAGAAACCTCAAGCGCTCCCAGTAATTGAGGTGTTTTATCTCCGTTATGCGCGCCGTGAAAGTTCTCTGTACATTTTCTAGGTCGGCAATTTCACCTGCCTTGAAAAGGTGCTGTAGAGTGCAGCAATATTCCAGCCTAGATAGAACAAGTGACCTGAAGAGTGTCATCATGGGCTTGGCCTCCCTAGTTTTGAAGGTTCTCATTATCCATCCTGTCATTTTTCTAGCAGATGCGATTGATACAATGTTATGGTCCTTGAAGGTGAGATCCTCCGACATAATCACTCCCAGGTCTTTGACGTTGGTGTTTCGCTCTATTTTGTGGCCAGAATTTGTTTTGTACTCTGATGAAGATTTAATTTCCTCATGTTTACCATATCTGAGTAATTGAAATTTCTCATCGTTTGAACTTCATATTGTTTTCTGCAGCCCACTGAAAGATTTGGTTGATGTCCGCCTGGAGCCTTGCAGTGTCTGCAATGGAAGACACTGTCATGCAGATTCGGGTGTCATCTGCAAAGGAAGACACGGTGCTGTGGCTGACATCCTTGTCTATGTCGGATATGAGGATGAGGAACAAGATGGGAGCTAGTACTGTGCCTTGTGGAACAGAGCTTTTCACCGTAGCTGCCTCGGACTTTACTCTGTTGACGACTACTCTCTGTGTTCTGTTAGTGAGGAAATTATAGATCCATCGACCAACTTTTCCTGTTATTCCTTTAGCGCGCATTTTGTGC